GTACTGAATAAATCACACTTAGAATCAAGAAAAAAATTACAATAATATAGTCATCCATAATGCCACTACACGTATATTTGATACAAAAAACATTTACAATGATATAGTCATTCACATTGCCACAAATAAAATTTACAATGATATAGTGGGCACAATCCTAACTCAATTGAAATGATCACAAATAGTCGTACATCGCAATTACAAATATGCAAAATAATGTAATAAAAAATACAAGCTCCAAACATGGTTACATCTCAATTATCAAGAACATACATTTTTTGCATTAAAAATTTAATAATAAAATTGAAAAATGCAAGATAATATAATTATCATAAATGTCACGATTTTTTACAATGATATTCACTTTAATTCCTCATGATAATACAGTTTAATATCATGTATTTGTTAATGTATTTTTTTGCGTTAACAACAAATTAAAAAATACAGTTTTGCATTAAAAATATAATAACATGTATTTTTTTGCATAAATAATCTATCAACATGTAATTTTTTGCACTAAAAATTTAACAATAAAAATGAAAAATATTGTTTAATTCCTCATAATAATCAAAACCTGGTCACGATTTTCACATTTTTTCGAAAAATCACGATTTTTCAAAAAAATTGATCATGAGTTTAAAAAAAAAAAAAAACGCAGTTCTTCACAAACCCACCTAACATCAGTCATTCCAACTAAAAAAATCCGTCTCAAATAGAATAAATTACATCAAATTGAATACATGTTTTGATAAACAACACTATAAGGAATCAAAACCCTATAATATTAACACATTATTATCAAAAAATTAAATAAAATCAATTGAACTGAGGAAAAAAAAAAAAACGCAGTTCTTCACAGACATCAGTCATTCAATCTCAAAAATCAAGCTCAAATTGAATAAATCAGATCAAATTGAATACATGTGATGATAAACAACGCTATAAGGAATCAAAACCCTATAAATTTAACACATTATTTGTAAAATATTGAGTAAAATTGATAGAATGGAGAAAAAAAAAAAAAACCGTAGTCCGTTTTTTCTTCACAGACATCAGTCTTTTTTTCTCAAAAATCAAGCTCAAATTAAATAAATAAAATAAAATTAAATACATGTGATGATAAACAACACTATAAGGAATCAAAACCTTATAAATTTGACACATTATTTGCAAAATATTGAGTGAATTTGATAGAATGATGGAAAAAAAAAAAAAAAAAGAAGCAGTTCTTACCTATTTTTCGTGCACCAGTGGCTTCAAATTCAAATTTGATATGCAATCGTCCAAAATACTCACAAATTATGAACAAAAACTTCTGAACAACACTCTTCGTTATTCAGAGAATTGGCAGAACCCTAAAACTTACTCTTCGTTCTTCACATATCCAAATTTTTTTGATCAAAATCGGTGATTTTTACTACCTTTTATTGACTAAAATGGCTGAAAAATTTAAATTAAAACCTGAAAGATTTGATTATAAAGCTAAAGAATATGAAAAATGATAAGAAAATGACAAAAAACCATGAAAATCATGAAGAACACTGTGCAGCCAGTGTTCTTAGGCGAGTCACTGTTGAGAACCGACCCGACTCGGCGATTCACTGTAGGGAATTGCCCGGTTCTCTCTAGACACAGGCGATTCCCGGTATTACAGTGGAACCGGTACAGGTATGCTGGTTCCCCAGTCAAATTGGGCGAATCCGGTTTGACTCGCCAAGTTTTCAAACCCTGGTTGACTCTGTTTCAGGCCTCATCAATCAAAACTATATCGTCTACAAGCAACATATGCTACGGTACTTCATATTGTAAGTACCTAAAGTCGTCCATAACTAAAACAAAAAAGTATGAGCTCAATACTAACCATGTAAACCTATTGTCACTAAACACTCACTCGTGTCTCCATTAGTTATTCGCACACTAGTTGGTGCTACCTCGTACATATCTTGGTATATTATTTGACGATCATTTTTTTTTCCAATACCACAAAATTAAATCCCGAAATACTCTATTATAAATTTTTTCTAAATCAATAAAAACCATATAGTACCTTCTTCCTTGAACTTCTCAATTAGTTGCCTAAATAAAAAAATAACTTCAATTATTGACCTCCTCAACATAAAGCTAAATTGATTCTTTATTACTCTTGTTTTCATTGCTCAATCACTCTTTCACATAATTTCATAGTGTGACTCATAAATTTATTCATCGAAGTGAATGGTGTGAAAAATATTTTTTAGTGACTCATAAATTTATTCATCGAGGTAAATGGTGTGAAAAATATTTTTTTTAGATAAGTCAGTTGGGGGACATAATTTCATAGTGTGACTCATAAATTTATTCATCGAAGTGAATGGTATGAAAAATATTTTTTAGTGACTCATAAATTTATTCATCGAGATAAATGGTGTGAAAAATATTTTTTTTAGATAAGTCAGTTGGGGGAGAAGGCCCGCCCCGGACCATTTTCATTAATAGAAAAAATTTTAAAGGCAAGTAGGTATTGAGCCCCTAAAGTCAGACTTCAGGAATTGAGCCCCTAAAATCAGACGTCATTTCATCACAGAGCTCGTTGGTACTACGGCCAAAACCCATATTTGTTTGCTACTAGAGTTCGTTGGTACTACGGCCAAGACCCATATTTGTTTGCTACTATGACTCTTCACTTAACTAGGCGAATAATAAAGCTCGTTGGTACTTCTGCCAAGACCCATATTTGTTCGCAACTACACTCTTCATCCAACTAGGCAAAAAATAATTGCGCAAAGTACAAACAACTCTCCCTCATTTAGATACACCCGACTGGCTCATCACCCCCGTCCTAAAACCTCTCTAAATGATGAAAGGGGGCACAATTATAATTAATTTTTGAAGAGTTGCTATTGTGACTCATGAAAATATAAGATTTGTCTTCTCAATAAGGAAACAAAATTATATATATTTTGCAACATGTATCCACCCCTGAACTTGAGCTTAAGCTTGATAATATGGGTACGGGTGGGATGTTGGTGTAGAGGTACGGTGCACCTTTAAATTTGACCGTGGTATAAAATTTTGATGTAAAATGTTCTTAAGATTATCTCAAAATTTATTTTTATATCTAATTATAAAATTTTAAATTTAAAAAATGATTAAAATCTAATACACCCATAAACATATGAAAATAAACCAAAAAAAAGCTTAATAAACTATATTGACAAAAGTGCATTAATACGACGCACCATCACGAGGGATTGCGAATGCTAAATGCGATTCTAATTTTAGACGCTATAAGAAATTTTTATTCTCTAGTTTCTCTTCATACTAAACTAATAAATTATGTTAGAATTTACTTCATTGCAATGAAATTAGAGTGATTAAAATCTTATTCTAATTTCATTAGAGTGAAGCAAGTAGTTAATGTATAGACATGGGACTGGCCTATTGAGGTTGGTTATTGGACAGCCCAAGAAATGGGGCGGTCTTTCCTTCTGAAAATCACAAACAGTAGCAAATCGTACCGGCAATGACCATAAAATAACCGAATAAGAGCATCAAAAAAGGGCAGTGCACTTCCAAATAAGAAAGAAATAGCCCTTTACATTAACACAAAAGGTAGATATACAACCTAGGAAATGAGCAGTCGTATTATAATCACCAGACTCCAAATAAACTCAAGAACACGTCCACCACTTTTAACTGTGACATCTCTCAAGGAGATCTTCTAAGACGCAAGGGAAGAGGGTAAAGTTGGGGGGAGGGAGGGGGTCTGGTTCTTGGGTCCGAATGATTCAAATTCTGACCCAAAGCATGGTAAAGTAGGAGGAGACAGAGAGGGGAGAGTTTTGTTTTGGGGGAAGATGATAAGGTGAATGATTCAGAGCTCCTCTTCCCTATTATGGTACTGGCCACCACCAGCCGCTCCTTGCTTGACCTTGTCCACAAACTCTACCGTCTTCTCTTTTGCTGCTTCGTAGTTGGCGGTGATGTACTCCTTGGCTCTGTCGTGTGTCTCTTTCGCCGCCTTCTTTGCCTCCTCATATGCTTCGCTACCCTTCCTCATTTCCTCCCCTTTCTCTGCGACATGCTCCTCGGCTCTCTCGTATGACTCCCTTGCCTTCTTCATTGCCTCCTCATATGCCTTGGCAGCCTTTCTCATTTCCTCCTCCATCTTCATCTTCTCCTTCTCCTCTTTCACTTTCTCCCTACCCTCGCCCTCCTCCTCCTCCTCCTCCGTCTTCCCTTTTGGATCTTCCACCTTCTCCTTGCCCTTGCTCGACCCCTCCTCCGTCTTCCCTTTTGCTTCTTCTGCTGCCTTCTCTCTTGCACACTTCCCAGCACCTGCACCACTAATTAACGTATTTTTTCAAATTTTCATTATCGATGTTCCATGACATAACACACACATGCCCTCCCAGGAACTGCGATTCAGTTGTTAAAACTTATTTACAAGATTCACAAATAGATACAGCCGAATCTCAACACGAGTCAGTGTTGGGAAAAAATCACATTAAAATGTGCTGCTGCTATTGTCGATGCTACTAATACATTGTTTTTAACTCTCAGCATGCTGCCTCGTGTTTGGTCATCTTGCCCGCCTCCTTTTGTCTTCTTCATCGCATCCCCTGCTTGCTCCGTAGCATCCTCCTGCTGTTTCAGTCCCAGTCCTCTGTGATAAAACGAAAATCAAAACAATCAGTCAGCAACCAAAAAGTCGAGAGAGTTAGAATTTGAAGTACTGACCCCGATATTTTGTCCTTGGCCCAGTTGGTCCATGACGACGATTCATCTTTCGCATGTTCTTTGCCAGTCTGAAAGGCCTCCTCTGTCTCGTGTTTCATTTCGTCCGACTTCTGTTTTGCCTCTGTGTCACCGACGCTTGTACTGCTGATGGAGCAAAGCAGAAGCAACAGCATCATCGACATGTTACAGGCTACCAACCCCCCCATTTCCTGGTACAATATTTCTTGCTCTTGAAAAGTAGATATGAAAGCAACAGAAGGAAGGAGCACACGGTGAGGACTTGTGCAGAAGAAACGACGATTAAATAGAGGTTTGTAGAGTTGAGCAAATGAGACGTGGCCTCTATTCTCTACTCCTCGTCTGTTTTTCTTAGACGCGTCCCTCTGTGCAATGTGACACCTCTCTCGTTTACCTGTCTTCTTCTCTTCTCACCCCACCCCATGAGGGAACCAAATCATTTTCCCATTCCGCAGTTTCTATAAGCTCCAGCCTTTATAAAAATAAAATAAAGCCTTCCTCAAAAAAAAAAAAACACTTTCGGCAATAAGAATTTTTGTGCGTGATGGTTCTAAAATTAATTTTTAACATATGATAATAAATTTTGAAACTACAGATCTTATTATGGATCTATAAACACTTGTTTTGAAGGGTAAAATGAATGGTCTAGAACACTAGATAATTTATTATATAATATATATTATTTTTAATTTAAAATCTTAATCTTTTTTCACAATCATAATATTCAAACCAAAATGATCTATATAAAGATTTTTTAATATTTAAATTGTAATTTTCCATAAGTTATTAAGTGAGGCTTTACTTATTTTTAAAAGGGCTGCAGCCCTATCAAAGTTTTTCCTTCGTGTTTTCGTTCCATTTCATTTTTTATTTTTCATATTTTGAACGGGGATAATATTGCCTATAGCTAACCGTTTACCACCCGACACATATTATTGCATTAACTTTTACCTCTGATGCCTTTATTTGTTGATGTTTGCCATTGGCCAAACATCAACAAATATTTTAGGTGGTTGTGATTTGGTTCTCTTTGTATTGAATATTTGTGACCGATAAACCATAAAAAAGTTAAGAATGCCATCTGAATTTTGGGGCATTTATCCAAATAAATTACTAATCTCACTAGTGCATGATATTTATACCATCTTTTTATGAAAAATATATAATGAGACGATTTATTTTTGGTACAAGGTGGTCATAATTAATTTTGACCATTGGCTGTGAGATTGTATGGTTATATTTATTTCATTGACCAAGGACAATCTTCAAAATAATTTTCTTCGAACTTTCTTGCACACCCACAAGCTATCAAATTTCACATCAAATGGTTATAAATAGTTGTGACTTCCTTGTACCGAAGGTAAATGGTCTCATTCTGTACTATTGTACAAGGTCTCATTCTATACTATTTATAACGAAATTTGCATAAAATTTTTAACTCATTATCCAATAATGGTGGTCTTAAATTTCATTTAGTATTTTTCCTTTGGAATGCTAAGTTTAATTTCCTTTTGAACTCTGATTTATCATCATTAAAATAGATAGTTTATTAGATCTACATTCAAATGGCAATAAAATTGAGGCAGTGGAGTTTCAAATCTGTTTCTTTTCATGAAACTAATTTTTGTTCAAAGAAGCAGTTTATTAGGTCTACATTGAAATGGCAACATGAAGCTAATTTTGGGGATGTGAGAAAATATTCTTCGGCCCTGTTTGGGTGCACAAAATTTTACCCGTAGCCAGTATTAGGGGGAAGATTAAAATTCCATTTATCCCGCAAAGGAAACTAGAATTCCAAAGAACATATTTTTAACTCATAAACCGCTTAAGATAACAGCATCCAAAGATTATTTATTTGATACGATTACTAAGACATCTAAACGGGGTCTCACTGTTTCAGGCAGAACTTACCAAACCTTGTTGGAGAAAATTTTAAAGATTAGTGTAAACCACCAAATAAATTCACAACATGGCGATGAAAATTGAATGAAGCCAAGCATTCTATTGAGAGCTTTAGCATTTTGCCGGTTAAGGTGAGGATGACATTCTTTATTATTTTCGGTTAAGTAGTTGTGAAACTATCTTACGAGGGTTTTGTGAAGGTAAGGGGAACAGATGAACCAAGAATATGTCTACTGCATTAGCATACAATGAAATTTCAAGGATTGTGTATAAAGAGACCATTCGAGAAATCCGAGAATTAGATGTCAAATTGGATAGCTTGAGATGAGTTGCGAGGTCCGAATTTTTTTTTTGAAACTGTATATTCAATAAAACTCTTACAACCACCCATTTTGAAATTTAAAAGATGAGAATGATTATGACCTTGACAAAAAGTAAATTGTCTCTGCATATACAATCCCTCTCAATTTCAATTGCTTTTGACAAAAAGAAACGGCACCCACATAAAAGAAATAAGGGCCACACATACCCATCCCTTGGTCATAGTTTCAGAAATACCCATTCATATAAAGTTCCAATCAGCAACGTTAGTCCATAAACGGGAAATGGAGCTCAACCCCCTTCTTTGCATCTACCCATCCAAAGTATATCTTTGCACATATACCTCAATCTTTTACGATGGGTACAATCTAAATTAGGTGTTCCATAGAACCCTTTTCTTCTACTTTTGTTCCTCGAACTGTCAAAGATACTACCGTTAAACAAGAACACTGTTGCGATGGTGGATGAGTCCACTAAATTTATTTTTTCTTTTATTTTTTTCTATAAATAAATCTAATTAGGGTTTCTTCTCCTTGGTTGGCTGAGGAGCGGATACAACTGTTCGGAATACCCAAGCGGCCAAAATTGCTCCAATGAAGGGGCAAATCCAGTACACATAAAAGTGCTCCCATGTGTTGTGAGAGTTGCTGAGGTAGGCCCATCCGTATGCCTGCACAAGACAAATGCCAGCGTAATTAGAGAAAAGCAAATGAAACCATGGGATGTGGACCAATATCTGAAGATGTTCAAAATAATGACGAAAAATTGCAGACTCAAGCTTGGATTTGCCCGAGAAATGTGGACCTGGCATAGTGCCGGCCTGCATGACAGACGCTAAAAGCCGGGTGAGTGTGGCCCATTTTCTAAAAGTTCATATAGTTTCTAATTGGGACTCACCCAATTCAGAGGATCCGACTTGGCTGAGTCTATCTTTTACTCTAGCTAGGACTCTAGTTAAATGCCGGCCCTAATTACTTGAGAAAAGACTTTGACGATGATGACTCTGGTGGGTAACAGTTTAAAACAAAAATACTATTACAATTTTGTGATCACAACAAGTGGGTGGGTTCATAAAATTGGCCTGAGTGACAAGGAAAGCAGATAATCTGAAAATAAGCTTCAACAAAGTCAGACGGGCACTAGTAGTACTACACACCAGCTTGCTGCAAATGCAAAGAAGCTGCATTCTGCTGAAGGGCATGAGATCATAAGCTCATCAAACTTGTTCTCAATCTCAATGAAAAGATTGAGATATAGGTGGCAATATAGTTGCCATATGGAAGTTAACATCTATAATACCATAAACCATGTTGTATTCCAGTGCTTGAGAAACATCAAGAAGACCCTTCGGGCAAATGATTCATTGATTTTAGGCTTGCTTTCACCGTGCACAATAGTTATAAGACTGCATAATGTTTAGCCATATGTCTGAAATGTCCACAAATATATGGAAAACAAAATCTGTGGTCACAAATTAGTGCCAAACTTTTAACAGTTTATTCCAAACATCGTGAATCTTTATTCTATGACATGCATTGTATTTTACAACCTCTTGGCTCCGGCACCATGTCCTTGTTATTTTCCATTTTGTTTTTTTTGATAAATTTTCTGGGGTGTGGGCACGTATCCTTACATTAATCATGAATTATGAGATAGACGAGTACAAGCCAAATGGCTAAACTGGGGCACCAGTAGGACAACAAGCATCGGTCCTTACGATAGGTTCCCACACCTTGTTATGATCAGGTAAAAATATGAATGCATTTCACTAACTAAGAATAATGGATTAAATCTCTGAAATGTAATTTCACATGTACAATGACCACAGTAGATCTCATTGGGAGCATTCCATATTAAGGAAGAAGACGATGCCCTTGCAAACATGAACACAAAAATGCAAGTACTCTTTGAGGATTGTGACAAGGCGTCACAAGCCAATATAGCTATATAAGGGCCACCATGTTCAACACAATTTCACTAGGAAACTTGAGTGAAGTCTAAAGAGACATCACCAACTTGGTAAAGATTCAGAGGCTTGAGTCAGAATTGACATTATATGGTGTGTTTCTACTCAAGCAGACTAGCTCTACTGATAGACCTCATAGTGTTCTCCTGATATCAATCAAGACCTCTAATCACAACAAGGGACTTGATCAATGGGATCAAGTTCGCAAAGCAGGAGACAAAATGTCGAGATTTACTCAGAGAAACACAAGTACTACATCATCTTAGGGAGAGAACGGAGAGGCTCATTCTAGCAGTGACAGACCCCCACTCTATTTATTCCTATACAGCATATATTCATCCTTTTCACGATTGTTGCACCTTTACAAATGTGTTTTCTTGATCAAAGAAAAGATACTAGAAACAAGGCTATAATCACGGATAATCAACTTCTGAATAGGCAATACAATTATAGTTAACTCTTCTTGAAAAAAAAAACTTCTGAATAGACAATTTAAAATAATTTTTTTAATAATTAGAAACAAAACTCGGTTTTTACAAAACTAGCCAGAATATTAAGGTTAGTGCTTGAAAAATATTTTCAAATTCCTAAACCTTTTCAAAGAAGAAATACTTAAAAATGCTACCGATGATAATCTAATTCTTAGTGAACAACAAATCATTGAATCTTAGAGCATGCAATAATGGCTACTTCTGATAAATATAAGGCTCTAGAATGGCTAGATTGGTAGTCAAAGGTTGCTCTGAAGGAATTGATTGCAAGGAGATCTTTGCAAATATGATTAGGTACCGACTTCTGTTAGAATACAATATATAAGCAAATGTCATATATGATCTTTACATATTACATAAATTCAAAAGGCTTGATTAAATAAATGTAAAATACAGGATTTAGATAGCATAAAGGGCGGCAAGTTGGAGCAGGTAAAAAACAAGATTCTATGGCATGTGGAGGGAGCTACAAGGGAAAATGTATGGCTCAGAGGTCTTAAACGGAAATTAGCATAAATTAATCTAAATTGGTCTAGAAAATCCATCTTCTACTAGACTACCACAAATATTTCCAGGTGTTCCAGTAAGTGACAGTTTGTCCATTCACAATCATTAATCTCTATATCAGATTCAATTGACTCTGCGTCAATAAATACCTTAATTTTACGATGATCATAACTTATACCATTCCCATGAGAGCCATCCACAACCCCAATGCCAAATGTTTTTTCTCAATAACCTTTCTGGTAGACACCACACTTAGATTGTGCCTTTTCAATTCACACAGAGACCATGCTTCGAATGTGAACCAACAAGGTGCCACTATTGTGCATACCCCTTGTTATCTGTTTTTCCGAGAATTATGACTCCTACTACAGCCTAAGAGCCAAATTTTGACATTTGGATTAAACACAACTGCAAATCACTTCAGCGAATACAATGGGAGAAGCCAGCATATCAATTGATCTCAAGGAAGCTTACATTGGTATTAACATGTACCGTAAAGGATAACAAACCCATGAAAGCTCATTATCTATATTTCGCTAAGAAAAAAGAGTGCTTTCTTAAAAGTGTCCTGTCCTGCTTTTGGTGATAACATCAATTAACATTCCTACATAATGGGGTAGTGAACCAAGCATAATTTGTAAATTACTTGGCCGAAAAGCTTTTGGACAGTCAAAGTCATAAACACGGAGCATGCATATATAAAAAATGAGTCATAGAAAAGGAGAATGCATACAAGAAGTACAATAAATAACTTACGTTGGCAGGATTCATGGAAGGGCCAGTGTATGGGGAGCCAGCAAGTACAAGGACCACGGTGGACATGGCAAGCAACCATGTCTGCAACACAGAGTTCTTGGGCCCTCTGAGCACCACCAGCAGCACAACAAATGTGATGAGAAATGTCAACACTCCTTCTGCGATGCATCCACTGCGCAGGTCCACCTGCAGGGAAGGGCCCTCCACCATGTGCTTGTATGCTGCAGGCATGAACTCTCTTATAGCCCATGCGCCCCCAATCGCTCCAAAAACCTGTGCCCATCAACATCCATTCACTTATAACGTCAACATCCATTCCAATCAATTCACTTAAACAGACAGACAGAACTACCTGAGCTGGGAATCGCAGAGCCATGGAGAGGAGGGTATCATCGCCAAGACCAGCAGCGTAAAAAGAAGCGAGGGCAGTGGGATTGAAGGAGGCCCCTCCCAAGGCATCGCCCACCAAGGTAAAAATAAAAAGAAGGATGAACAATACGAGAGTGGTGACGATCACAGAGGTGAAGAAATCCCCCAGCTGAAGATGAGGAAGGTAGGAAGAGGTGATGATGGAGGTGAGGGGTCCAATCGCTGAAGCAGAGAAAACCCATAGGAAGGTGATAACCACATCTCCTATTGCCGATTTCACAGCCCCCATACTCTCTAAACCCTCCGCCGATGGATGGATGGATGGATTGATTAGTAAAAGGATGATAGAGCAATAAGCAAAGGGGTTCTCTCTCTACCTCTATGATAAAGATGCCACCCACCCATGTTTATCTGCTCACCCTCCCCATTCGTCCGCATTCCTGACTCAGCGCCACCCCTCGCCATTCAATTCAAAACCATCTTGCAGGACCGCCAACCGGACCGGTTCCCCGATCAGATGAGTCTATAAAATTAAACAATTAGATTAAAACAAAGATAAAAGGAAAATTAAAGAAAAAAAAATTAAAAATTTACGAAAAAAATGAAAAAGAAGGAAAATAAGAAACAAAACAATTCATCTGGCCACAAACGGAAATTGAAAATATATCATCATACAACTCTCTATTTTTTTCCCTTCAATTACTCTTTCTTTTCTTTTCTTTTTTGCATTTTTTCTTATTTTTGTTTTTGTTTTTACATTTGCCCAATGTTGTAGTACCAAATTAATGGCTGAACTGGACTAACTGGACCGGTCTAAAAAATTAAATAATTAATAAAATTAGTAAAATTAGAAAAACTTTGGAAAGCGTAGAGAAAATATGAAAATTAGAAAAAATGTAAACAATAAATAAACTTATTAAAAAAAGTACTAGGGTATTTCTTTACTGTTGAAAAATGACAACCACAAAATTTTTTTGCATTTTCTCATTTATTTATTTATTTATTTTGCATTTTCTAAAATAATTTTTTCATTCTTTTTACTTTTTATTTTTATTTTTATTTTTAGAAGATTCAAAGTTCCAAACATGAAAAGAATAAAAAAAAAAAGAAGAAAATGAAACTTTTCTATGCTATGTTTCTTGTTTTTTATTTATGTTTTTCTTTTTACTATTTTTATATATTTTAATGCAGTTTAGGATTTCACCTTTTAAGCCATTACAAATTACAATATTAAAGTTAAAAACCGAATCGAAGCAAAGCCTGGTGCTGCCTCTTCGGTCAGATGTGGGCCACCGCATCGGTTATATTTGGGTTTGCTTTGGGCTGAAATGGCCGAAGCTTCGGCCTCTTCGACAGAAGCAAAGAAATATTTATATAAAAATATTTTTTAATTTTTTTCATTATTTTTATATATTATATATATATATAAATATCTAATTTATTTATATTAAATTTTAAAAAAATATGAAATCTTTCCCCAAATTAATCGAAACACCAAACTGCTTCATTTTTCTCACCAAACTTTGAAGCAAATATGACAACATTGAGCGTGAGAAAAAAAAAAAAAAGTATCAAATAGAAGATACAACCTCCTCTCTCTCTCTCGTATATTTTCTTTCATAAAATTTTTTTTTTCTTAGGCCTCTCTTTCTTTAAAAAACAAAAAAAATTATCTTTCATTTTTAGGCTATGATGTTGATGAAAAAAAATTCATCTTTCAGTTTTATTACAATCTTACCCCTTGATATGTTGGGCCAAAAACCCCTATTTTTTGGCCCCTCTTTCTTTAAAAAAACAAAAAAATGTGGGGGGGAGAAAATTCGAATTTTGGACTGGCGGATTGGTTGCTGATTGGTGGAACTGCCGGTCTAACAATCCACCAGTTCAACTCCTATCCATATTTGTCGACTGAACTGGACCCACAATAGTCACCGTTTGACTTGTTGAACCGGTCGGTCGCTCCTTACCACTTCTCACATCATTGTTCGCCAAAATGAAATTGGAAGAAAGTAATAAATAAATAAATAGAGTTTGCCCCAAACATATTTCTGTTTTTTTTATAAAATTTCTACTTTGATTTTTTGAAATCTTAAAATGCAAATTGAAAAAAATAGAAAAGTCATTCACAGTTTTTCTTTTTTCATTTCCATTTCTTTGCTTTTTTTTCTTTATTTATGCTTTTTGTATTTTTAGTTATTTAAAAGAGTAAGAAATAGTAATACAAAATCCCCAAATACATATTTGTTTTTTCTTTTTTGCATTTTTTAAAATATTTATTTTCTTTTTTTGCATTTTAAAACCCAAAAAATGCAAGAATAAAAAACACAAAACTAAAAAAAGGGGAAATTCTTCTTCTTCTTTCTTTCTTTCTTTTTTTTTTTTTTTTTTAGTTTTTCAATTATGTAGTTCATGTTTCTATTCTTTGAATTTTTTTCATTTTTTGCATTTACCGGTCCAAATTTCAGAAAAAACCAAAAGCAAAAAAAAGGCATAATCTCGTTAGAATCACACCAGAATCTCGTCAGAAATAAAGCATGATCTTTTTTCTCTAAAACTCAACTATGAAAAAGGCCAAAAAAATATTATTTCTATATCTTTTTTGCATACCCTAAATCATGTTATAAGATCATTACTCTTTAAAAAAAAAAAAAAAACAACAAACTCAAGTGGTATAATCTCTCTCTCTAAAATCTCACCAGAATCATGTGAGAGATTGTTCTAGACCCTTTGATGGATGAGAGGGAGAAAGGATCAAATCCTCTCTCTATCATAGTCTCTTTTTAACATACAATCTTAAATATTACTTTTTTCATTTTACCCTTTGGGGAAATAAAAAATACCATTGCATCATTTGCAGTGGGCAAAAAAAAAGTTTTTTTGTCTCCTAGCTGACCCATGTTCATGGGCTAGATCACTGCAAAAGGCATTGATTCAACAATTTTTGGCTCAAACTGACTGGTCCAGTCTGGTTCAATTCATTCCGGTCCTAGCAACATTGATTAGAAAGCCTTGCGGCATAGATTTAAGAGCAGAATTAGTATGGTAATTTTTCCTGAGGGAGAAGCCTGGATTGGATAATAAAGAAGGTTTCAGAAAATAAGGGAGAACACGCGGGGCGAAAACGTAGAGAGAGATGCTTTTCCTCTAGGAAGTAAATGTACGCCCTTATTTTATTAGTAGATTTTGATCCCTTTCTCTCAAGAACGGAGCGTTCCACATAAATTTAGGTCTCAAATAAGTTATTTATTTGCTTATCACATATTTTTCACACTTATACGCACATACACATATTTAGTGTTTTTGTCCCATAAATTATATTATGTTGCATTTTTACAAGAGGGCTCAAATAGGTGAGCCCAAGGATCTCAACCTTTGGAAAGAAATCTCATTGTTCATTGCCTAGTCTGAATTTTGCCTCACTGCGCCTTCAGAAGTCTGAAGTGGATCCTTACTAACTCACCTTGCAGGCCTATTATAATAGACACCGATATGTATAAGAAAAAAGTCAATTATTTCCATGGCTGTTATCTTGTGGTGAAATTGTACTTCTTTCCAATTCTTATGTCATTTGATGGTAGTATCTTCTGGATAGTAAAAATAACAAATGGAAGTATCACTCGAATGGCATGGAATGGATAAGAGCAGGTAGAATGACCCGGAAATTTTTGAAATGGAAATGGAAATGGGAGTACGAAAACGAAACAGAGAACTTTTAACAGATTTATTTTGTAGGAAGAGGAGATCTTGCAGGGTGCGTGTTTTGTTGGAGCGCGACCTGCCCGTTTGTTTTAATAACACTGCGAGCCATTGCCTTGTGTGCTGGACATCAGGATGGGCGGTTCCCATCTCCTTCTCCCTCTCCTCCATCACTATTTCCAATAAGTCTATGGCATCATCAACCCTGCAATTGTTCACTCATTCCATTGTTTAAAAGCCCAGAGTCTAGCTCCGACTTGCCAAGGACCTGAGCCCAAGTCAGAATACTTGGCCGATTGCCCAGATTCTAGCTCCGACTTGCCAAGGTCCCGAGCCCAAGTCAGAATACTTGGCCTATTATCAATATACAAGTCCCGAGCTTTCTTTTTTTGGATAATTCAGTGGGGAAGCCATACTTGGTTTTCAAATGGTTGAAGAGTTAGCCTTTTGAAGGTTTTAGTGGGTTGGTATCAATGGGAATGTGAACCGGTAACTTGGGTGTGGGGGTGATACCACTACGACTCCAGCCCCTTTCTCAAGTCCCTAGCATTCAAGGACTCCAAACATAATGGCTTGATTCTTACGGCTAAGTGAGTCCAAGCCCGAGTAAAAAATTTACAAAGAGCCAATGACATAAAGTAGGTAAAGTACAAAAATAGTTAAATTGACTTAAAAATTACAAGGAAGGTCGGTTATTGTAGACTTATTTAAACTTTTTTTTTTTTGTCCCAAAATGCATCTCGATATGAAAATATCATCCTCAGACCTGTCCAAGGCCCCTATCCTTGAACTGTCTAAATTGTGGTGATATACCATACTATAGGAAGTCTGAGTATGGAGATCTCAAACCCCTCGCTTAGGCTCAATCCAGTTAGCAGTTCGAGGTCCCCATCCCCGGACTGCCCACACTATAGTATTCGACCACATTATAGACGGTATGAGGAAAGAAATCTCGGACCACCTATAATCTGATATAATTCTCCAATATGGGCAGCCCAAAGATGGGTACCTGTAAAACCACACTAACGTCGGTATGAGGATGGGGACTTCAAACCGGTCCCCAATTGTCTTAAAACATGGGACACAACAAAGAAAATTTAAATAAAAAATAAAAATAAAAATAAAATTGTCCGAGGATGGAATCCTGATTTTGGAAAAATTTAAAAAATCTACGATAGCCGATGTTTCTTGTAAATTAATAGTCAATTCGACTCGTTTTTTACACTTCGCGTAATTTTTGTGAGTAATTGGCTCATTTACAAATTACTGGTAAAACTAGTAAAGAAAGACGTGGATATGATAGGTGGACAAAAAGGATAAAGTTATAGAGAAATTATGGGAAGCTCACCTCCCTTCCCATGGCGTCGTAAGGTCCAGCAAGGTTGGTAGAAACGTGGAGAGTATGGGAGTTGGAAAAGCCACAAATTTGGTGAAGCATGCTCTGCTCTGCTATGCTCCTCGAATGCATTGAGAGTATGGCCCTCTTCAGCATTGCATGAGTAATCCCCCCTCACCCGAAGCAACACCCCTATCTGTATCTGTGCCTCAATGCCTCCTATAACCATACCCCTCCCTCTCCCAACAGCAACAGTTCATGACCCTTCTGAAGCACGGACATCGCATGGGCAGCCTCTCCCATGGCCTCTAACAGACAGGCCACCCTGCTCAATCCGACCACAACCATCTCGCGCTCCCACTCTTGTTGCCGCCTGAACTTGAAGATGTTAGTGTAGTAGATGATCTCGCAGTGAATTTTGGCCTCCTTGAGAGAGCCTCTTCTGAGGTAAGCATCCGCCAGGCTCACGGCGATGGAAGCCACCTCTGTGTGTCCTTCCCCGTAGACTTCTTTGAGGACATGGAGAGCTCTCTCGTATGCGGACACCGCTTGGTCTGACCTTCCCAGTGCTAGGTATGTGTCTCCGATCTTCCCATCTACAAGTGCACCTTCAAGGAATCAACTGTATGATGATGATGATGCACCAAAGGAGGCGGCCACAAGGAGGAGCTGCTCCAAGCAAGGCAGCTTCATTCTCATCCTTTACTCTATGAATGACGGCCATCAATTGCCTCGTCGTCACTAGCTCTTGTTGATGTTTTTGTTCATGCACGCCAGCATTGATGATCATGTCAAGGGCTTCTCGACAGAGTTGCTCGGCCTGATCAAGCTGCATCAGCATCAAATGGGATTCTGCGATGCATCGGCAGGTGTGTGCGACCTCCGAGCGAGAGTCGGAGTCCCGAGTATTCGCCTCTGAAGGGCTGATGCAGAGGTGTAGCAGCTCATAGCATCGTCATAGCGAGAGAGGCCAAAGTGCACGTCACCCAAGCATATGAGGCCCGAAAATGAGGCATAAGCTAGCTCTCGGTCAATTCCTAAATCATGAAAAGGATTAGAGGAGGAAGAGAGGAAGTGGTTCACAACTTGAATTGCTTTTTCATAGTTCCCATGCTTCTCAATTGTTGTTGTTCTCAATTGTTGTTGTTGTGATGTTGCTTTTCTTCTTATGGCTGCCTGGGATTTACGGCACTTATCATCACTCACTGTCTCCTCCCCCATTACCATGCCTCGTGTTAATCTCCTCCTCCATTACCATGCCTCATGTTAATCTTTTTAGGAGGAGGAGAGCAGGTGCAGGATAGTGATGATGTCGAATGCTTGAGATTCATTTGACAGCGTTCATTGATATAAAAAAAATGAGATAGATGATAATGGAGATGGGTATAATAATGGGCTGGCCCTCAATGTCAACAAAACAACGTGGAATGGCCAGGATTCGTCTTTTCTCCACTCAAAATCTGTCTTTTTTTTAATGAACATTGAGTGGGAGAAGGACACAATCCCACCATCAGCCATGGACATCCAACGGCTGGGAATATTTGAAATTTCTACAAAATGTTCACTGTGCTCATTGTATGAGAAACACTTAGTACTGTCGTTGTTGCCAAATGCTTGGCTTATCTGTCTGTATGTCCCTAGTTTGGGTAGACGGATGAAGTGCATAATGCATAAGCTGTCTTGGTTATTCAATCTACACTGATAATGATGCATCCAGTCCTTTAGGAGGATGCCATGGTTTTTTTTTTTCTTTTTTTTTTTTTGGAAAAAGTTTATATATGGTTGTAATTTTAAAATATAGAATTAGAGTGCATCTAAAAAATCCATCATAAAAGGTTGTTTTGATGTTGGAAAACCCTCTAATTGATCATCTCAACATCGAGATGTATGAGTATGAAAAGAAAAAAAAGATTTCGAGTCCTAAAAATAATGTACCTTGTAGCACATTATCTGGACCATTCATTTTCAAGATTTTCTTGTGTTTATAGGTCTAGTTAATTTGAACCATTTTTGGGGTTTAAAATTTTATAATTAGAAATGAAAGTATATTATCAAACCATCCTAAAAACATTTTATACCAAAATTACATTTATGATAAAATTTAGAAGTGTACCTTAATTTGATTATTTAAGGTTGCAGCCTTATGCAAACCACACCGCTCTTTTCTTTTCTTTTTTTGGGTTATTTTTTCCATTTTTTTTAGCATTGTGAACACAAATAATGTTAGATAGTAGGACCCATTTCTTTCTGTTCACTTGTGCTTTCCTGTTCTGCAAACACAAATAGCGTTAGATGGCTTCCACCACGCCTCCATGCAGGCCCTCTACTTTTCATGCTTTAATACTGGTTGCCCTATCATATTCTTCTCTTTTCCTTGTACAATCACACCTGTCACAATTTCATTGGAATAGCAGATGGCATCATTTGCTGTTGTGATGCTCCTCGAGAGATTACATGAAAACAAATGTTTTTAAATATTTAATTATAAATAATCTTTTAGTGTTGATTTACTATAATATTATTTTGAATATGTATATAACGAGATCGTTTATCTTTGTATACAAGGAGGCCACAATCGTAGTTCATTGTTGGATTTAAATCGGGTGGTTGAAGATGTGTTATTGTTTAGGTACACTACCAAAAATAAAATTTTTCAAACTTTGTTACACACTTTCATATATTGGATTTTACAGTCGATGGATAAAAGTGATTGTGACTTTCTTGTGAAAAAAACTAAATAAATATTTAATTATCTAATATTTTCTAGTCAATGTGACAAGCGAGAGGTTAACCTTGCTTGTGCATTGTACCATAGTTAGCAAATCGGCATTTAAAACATGTTGGAGGTTTTATTCGTAAGAATAATATAATTATATAAAGAGTAATGATCATATGAGATCCTCCCGCACTCATATGTGTAAAACCCCAAATTATCACCATTAAATTTAGCACAGATATCTAAAAAAAGTATCATAAAGGTGTGGAACTTGATTTTTCTAGAGATCTGTGTCAAATTTAATGGTGTTCCTTTAAGATCCTGCATACATAGGTGTGAGAGGGTCTCATAGGATCATTACTCTTATATAAATCCCTATCTTCATATTAGTAGGCACTATTGGCATTTAAACGATGTCATATTAGTAGGCACGATTGGCATTTAAATTTTTCTCTTAATTTATTTTTTATTTGCAGGATAATAGATTACTTTTCAAAAATAAGATTTTTATAAAACATCGAAAATTTTCACTTAATTTTATTTTGTATTTGCAAGATAATAGATTATTTTTCAAAAATAAGATTTTTATAAAACATCGAAGATATTTTTAATTAGAGATCAATTATAATTTGGCAATATAATTATTGCATTTATATAATAAATCAAAGAAGATTTTAAGGAAAATATTTAAAGAAGGAAAAAAGTTTATGTAAGGACCTTGTCAAAAAAAGAATAAGTTTATATTAGGTTGCAACCTTAAAATGTAGAATAAAGGTGCAGCTCAAAAATTGATCATAAAAAGTTGTTTTAATGTTAGAAAACTTTCTAATCGATCATCTCGACATCGAGATATATGAATATAAAAAGAAAAAAAGATTTCGAGTCATAACAATAGTGTATCTTACAACATATTATCTAGACTGTCCATTTTTAAGAATTTCAAGTGTTTATAGATCTACTTGATTTGACCCATATTTGAAGTTTAAGATTTTATAAATAGAGATGGAAATAGATTCTCGAGCCATCCTATAATTGTTTTGTACCAAAATTATATTTATGATAAAATTTGAAGGTGCACCTTAATTTGATTGTTTAATGTTGCAACCTTATTCAAACTACACCCTTTAAATAAATAAATAAATAATAAATAATAATAATAATAATAATAATAATAATAATAATAAAAGGAGTTTCTAAAGAGAAAAAACAAAGGTAGGGAGAGAATCTAAAGAGTTTAAAAGGGTATGAGAAATTTAAAAACTCACACTATAATTTATTTTTATGTAATATCTTTGTTTGTGAAGGTGGTTAACTTTGCTTTTATTTTCCTATAACTGATGCAGCCAAATATGCTATTCATAATGAGATTGAAAGAAAAATGAAAGACGTTAAGATATTAAGAAAATCAGTTTCCAATTAGGTAATATTTAGCTACTTCAAATAAGCAGTAAAGTAACAAAAAGCGCGCCCATGTAAGGGAAAAGTTCATATATCTAGACAATTAAATTTGAGCCTACCTCAAAACTTTCATTAGAAGAGGTTGTTTTGAAGCTCAAATATCTTCATATTGATCATCTCGACATCAAGATGCATGGACATGAGAAAAAAATGGATTTCAAGTTTTGAAAATAATGTATTTCGTAAAGCATATTTGAGCCATCAATTTTCAAGATTTTTAAGTCTTCATAGATCAGTCGATCTGCACTATTTTTGAAGCTTTAAACTTTATAAATAAATATAAAGATATATTTAAGTCTATCACAAAGATTTTTAGTATTGAAACCACATTTCTCAATACTATTTGAAGGTAGGGTCGAATTTGATTGTGTAGAGCCTAGGCTCTAATACAAACCGCAACCCCCATATAATGCAATCCAATATCCACGTGGTCATCATAACCCATAGCTTTGATGTACTCACCGTCCCACGATGGTTTGGATAGTGATGGAGGGGAATGGATTCCATTGTACAATTTATTTAATAATAATATTTCTCTGCTGTCTCTCCGTCACCATCCAATCGAATGACCGAGCAGTGATAAACCACATGGTTTTGTTGAAACTGTGACCATATGGATCGGATTTTATTTTCCTGACAACAATATAATAGGGTAGAAAAAATTGGACGTTTATGGATGACGTCAATTGGAATATAGAATATGTGGATTCTTTGAATATTTGATGGAGGACTAAGGAGAAGCACATGCTTTTATTTGTCTGAGGTGAATAACTTAGCAATATAGGAGTTATACTAGCGGCAATGGACCCAACCAGACCAAGGGTAAACCCGACCACGTGTCTGGGTATGGGTCTAATTTTTTTGGACCCGACAAGTACATCCAGATCCGACCCGTATCTGTAAACTGTTGGAGATAAAATATTTTACTTTAATCCCTATTCATTTTTGCGTATTAATGATCGTATACAATAAGAACGTGTATTCAACTTTAGCTATTAAACGACACATCAGACGGCTTGAAATCTTATGATATGTGATTGTGACCTTATTGCTAATAATATGGGTATGTGATGATAAAAAAAGGGCCAAAAAAAAAAAAGAAAAAAAAACTCATAACCATAAGTAGCAATGAACCCGAATTTTTCATTGCCCATATTTTTAGTGGAATATCAGTGGGATGTCCAATGAATAGTTGTCTTTTGAACAAGGTTCTATTGTCCTTTTAATGAAGTATTCAATTTTGGAGTGCCCTGCAGCATGCAGGCACCCTAAAAAACCCATCGAAATTATGAATTGAGGACTCAAAATACTGCAGATCAATCCTCTGGACCTAAACAATTATGGATCTTTAAAATGAGTCCTATAAATGCTACATGTTGCAGTATTTTTTTGGATTCTCTGTTTCAATCTCCCATGGATCCATCCCTCTTATATAAACTGTTTTAAGAGCACTAGATTCCATTGTATGGGAAGGGACAAAAAAAAAAACCCTAGTAGTTTTCATTGAATAAATTCTCTTGGTATTTTATGGCTATCCGTTTGGAAGTCCTAAAGGATTATAGACCATGAAGTACAGGACAAGTCAAACAAAGACAACAAAAATAATTGAATAAGTGGGCTACCCCCTTCAAGGAGTATATATTACCATTTATCGGGTGAGGTTTGTATAAAGTGCTCACCTTATACTATACAAGTAAGGCTCATCTCTAATTTTATTGGAGGATGTAGTTTTGGTATCGAAAACTTTGTGATGGCTTGAAAATCTATGTTCAACCGTTATTATGAAATTAAAAATTTTAAAAATAATGCAGATTAAATAAATTTATACACGCTTGAAAATCATTAAAATAGACGGCCTAAATAACTTGTTACAAAATGTACTCTTTTCAGTAGTTGAAATTCCATGTTTTCTCTATACCTTACATCTCTATGTGGAGATGATCAATTAGAAGGTATGCCAACTTCAAAACACTCTTTTCTACTAAGTTTTTGAGGTGCACCTTACTTCTATAGTATATGGTTGTAACCTTATATAAACTTTTTTCCTATTTATTTCTTTTGGTTTGCAGCATTGTTCCAAATTGTCATTATCGACAAAGGTGATTTTCAAATGAGTGTTGGGTACTTTATAAACAGTACATTTTCGTCAGCTCCAAGATTGCACAAATGGCATTTATTTTTTGGAGGTCCCATCTAGGTCTTTATGAGTACAAAATTATTTTATTTAAAATTACTCATCTAGATTGTAAGAAGAATGAGGGGCATTTCAATAATTTGAACCCCCATTATACCTCACCCAAATGATGAAAATACTCAAAGTTATTTCACATTACAAATAGGAAACATGCTATTCAGTATTAATAATGCGGAACAAGCATACTATATTTTTGTAATTTGATACATACAAAGCATTTAAGTGCAAAGTGATAAAAACAAAAATATCCTACTTGTTCTGCACCACTAATGCGACACCTTGCGTTCTTGTTTGTATTGTGGAATAACTAAGGGTATTTTCATCATTTAGTTGAGGTTTCTTAAGGATCAAATTACAGAAATGCTTATAATTATTGCGAATTTCAAATACAAAATAAAGGCAATTTGGGTTTTTTTAAGTTTTTTTTGAGGAGGTATCCATTTGAAACTAAAAAAAAAAGATACGACCTCAAATGTTAATGCCGATAATTTGGCCCTTTCATGATGTTGTAAGAGGTTTCATTTCCTTTAATGATATTTTCCCTCTTTTTTATGCACCGGTCTAAAAATAACAAACTTATAAATTTGAGGTGCATTTTAAACAGTTTTGTTTGAAATGGCTATTGCTATCGTTAACCTCTCGAAGTGGAAACCATCTTTACATAACATAACAAATAAGAAATCCATAACAGCAAGGGATATGGTCATCTAAACTGTGCCCACCTCCTAGTTAGAATTAGTAGACTATGCCCCCTCCGAGTTAGGAAAAATTTCCCTATTGGGCAATTAATAAATCTTAACAAGCAAATAAGGAGAGGAAAACCGTGCAGGTTACATAGGAGAAATGACTTAGATCCTACCTAGTTTCAGTCCAAAAGAGAAACTCAAGAGGAAGCAGATCTGTGTTTTTAAAAGGAAACCATCAATCATAAGCTGCATTGGAATAGAAACAATATAAGAAAAAAGATTCATGGGGATAAAATCACTTAAAGTATTTCTTGTAACACAACCAATATATGGGGATAACACACTCGAATGCAATTGAGAGGTGATGCAAATCTGATTATCATCTAAGAATTATATTTACGTTAATGAGAATATCAAATTCAAGTAACCATGCCAAAAGACATCATTTTCATGACTCTTACCACATATGAACATGAAACATGTGGCACTAATCAATTTGTACGTTGAGACATCACCATCTATCATTTCGATGGATGGTGATGGAGATAGGGTGGCAGCCACCATTGAGGACATCGCCAGCGGTCCATCGATTCGATCGTGCGATCGCCCTATCAATAATCTGCTGTTATTAAACGTACTTTGCTTTTCTTTTCTTTTCTTTAGAGGAAAAAGATTTGGGAGGTTCCCGCAGGAGTAAATTGTATATTTCAGTAGTCGGCCAAAACACCATTTTTGGATGCTCCGTAACTGTGTGAGCCAGACTAACAAATCATCTTTATCCATCTCTAATAACAAATCAAGTAACCGAAACCAAAAAAGAAAAAAAAGGAAAATGATTTGGAGATCATGAAATGCTTCGCACCAATTCTTGCTCCTAAGGTCGATTCCAAACCATCCATTTGATGGATGATTAGATCCAGCAGCTCTTCAAATTAAACACAACGTAAGTCTCTAAGTAGGTGTGTTGCTTGTGGGACTAAGCATACAACTTGGTCCCGCAAACCACCATGTACAACACCTTTGTTTGAAAGAAAAGTCTGGGTACGTATTTCGAGGGAAATTGTTAAATGACATGAGCCATTCTTTTTTTTTTAGCACCCACCTTCCAAAGAAGTGAATCTCTATTTGGCGGTATCTTTATTGCTGGACCACAGCAATGAGTGAAGTGGACCACAACGTGTGACTCCCTCATATCACCAACTTCAACTGCTTTTCTTCCCATCTACGAAAATAAGCAAATTTATTGTATTTTTTTGGTTAATTTTTTTTCCTTCCCAAATAAAATGAATAGCCTTCCATGTTAAAAGATAATGGCTTATTTATAGAAAATAATTGTGAGAAAACCTAATCTTTGGAGTTTTGTTTTCAATGGCCGGTGTTGGAGAGAGACTATTATTTTATATTGGTGGATCACATTCTCTGGATCACTACTTAATTTGATAAGATTAGAAGGCCTATGTCTTTGATAAGATTGTCAAGATAACAGTGTGGAACACATGTATAGGCCAAGAAAAGGAGTACGGCTGTTTACATTTTCTCAAGGCACAATACTAAATTTTATTATTCCCCATTAAATAATAATATATATGGCATTAAATAATGGGTTTTATAGCCAGCAAACAAATAGGTTGCTGTCGAATGGCGAGCTTCTACCCACTGCGTAGCTTAGGTTAGAATCAAGTTAACCCTACTTACATTTACCCCAACCACAAAAGGAAATAAAATAAAACAGAAAACATCTCATCATCTTTTTTTTTTTTCTTTTTTTTTTCTTACATGCCACGTTTGTTTGAATAAGAATTTCTGAATGGCAACACCCAACACCACGATTTAACAGAAGATAGCCAAATTTCAAAGGAAATTGAGATAAATAAACCAGTCTTGAATATGCAGCGTGTGCGTTTGTTTGGGACGTTTAACATATAACACCAATACCAACTTTTATGTAACCAGCACACAATAATAATAGTAGGAAGTAAAAATACAGAAGGGACAAATAAACAAAAAAATAAATAAAAAGAAGGAAGGAGAAAAAAAAGCACCCCCACCTCCTTTGCTTCTTATTTTTCAAGACTCCTCTCACCTTACCTAACTGCTTAAAAAGGACGGCGCACCCAAACCCTCTTTCCAGATACTGAGTTCCAACAAAGGGTCACTTTATAATGGTGAGATGAGCTTGTCCCGCTACAGCACCTGCTCTATACACGATAAAGAGGAGAGGAGAGGAAGAGAGGGGTTGAAGGAAAAACAACACGACACCAAGAGAGAGAGAGAGAGAGAGAGAGAGAGAGAGAGAGAGAGCGAGAGAAATGGAGTCTAGGGTGGTTCGGACCCTCCTTCTGGTGGCATGTTTGCTTCCTGCTCTGGTTGAATGCAGAGTTCGCCATTACAAGTTTAATGTGAGTGCTCTACTTTTCTTTATTTTTAAATTCAGTGGGTGAAGGAGTTTGAGAAGAGAAGAAAAAAAAATGTATGGTGATGACAGGTTGTGGTCAAGAATACAACGAGGCTGTGTCAGACGAAGCCCATCGTGACGGTGAACGGCGGTTTCCCGGGGCCGACTGTGTACGCAAGGGAAGGCGACAATGTGCTCGTCAAGGTCGTAAACCACGTCAAATACAACTTGTCCATCCATTGGTAACTACTCTGCACTCTTTCAACACATTTTTCTTTTTCTCACGACATTTACATTTATGTAGTAAAAGATAAATGAAGTGAATTAGAAAGAGCAATAGCTAGCTTAGCTTGCAATGAGTGGACGTGCATGTATGCAGGCATGGGATTCGGCAGGTGCGGACTGGTTGGGCAGATGGGCCGGCTTACATTACACAGTGCCCCATCCAGACCGGCCAAACCTACACATACAACTTCACCATCACTGGTCAGAGGGGCACATTGCTATGGCACGCTCACATCCTCTGGCTACGCGCCACCGTCCACGGCGCCATTGTCATCCTTCCCAAGCGTGGTGTCCCTTACCCCTTCCCCAAACCCCACAAGGAAGTCGTCGTCATTCTCGGTAAGGCCATCTACATTTCATGAACTGCAACTTCGCCTTTTTTTTTCTCCTTCATCCTCTCCATCTTCAAAGTTGGTGCAAACAAATTTTGCAGCGGAATGGTGGAATTCAGATGTCGAAGCAGTGATAAATACCGCCATGAAGTCTGGTGCGGCGCCGAACGTCTCTGATGCCCACACCATTAACGGCCATCCTGGCCCCTTATCCAACTGCTCTTCACAAGGTAACCCATCCTTTTTCCTTCTCTCCTCTCTGCCTTTTGCCGTTGCTCATCTACTGTTGCATGCATGGACGCAGGAGGAGGTGGCTTCAAATTGGAGGTGGAGAGCGGGAAGACGTATCTGCTGAGAATCATCAATGCTGCACTCAATGAGGAGCTCTTCTTTGGTGTGGCTGGCCATCCCCTCACCGTTGTGGAGGTCGACGCCACGTACAACAAGCCATTCACCACCACAACGGTACTCATAGCTCCTGGCCAGACCACCAATGTCCTCCTCAAGGCCGATAAGTCAGGAGGCCGCTACATTGCTGCTGCAAGTCCCTTCATGGATGCCCCCATCGCTGTCGACAATGCCACTGCCACTGCCCTTCTCCACTACACAGACACCCCTTCCTCTTCCTCTGTGAGCACAACATTCGTCTCACTTCCCCCTCTCAATGCCACACCCGTCGCTTCCAAATTCATGGACTCCCTCCGCAGCCTCAAGAAGCCACCAAGCTCGAGCCTTCCGCGCCACAGCCGTGTGGACCACTCCCTCTTCATCACCGTCGGGTTGGGTATTTTCCCCTGTCCCACCTGCACCGCGAACAATGGTAGCAGGGTCCTGGCAGCCATGAACAACATCAGCTTTGTGATGCCGACCTTCAACCTCCTCCAAGCCCACTACTTCAACATCTCCGGTGTCTTCACAGATGACTTCCCCGCCAAACCCCCCACCCCCTTCAACTACACCCAGAACCCGACCCCACAGAACACGAGCATTGTCCTCTCCAACGGAACCCGGTTGTACAGGCTCCCCTTCAATTCCAGCGTGCAGGTCGTGCTCCAGGACACGGGCTTCATTTCTCCTGAGAACCACCCTGTCCACCTCCATGGCTTCAACTTCTTCGTGGTCGGAAGGGGCATCGGAAACTTCGACCCCAAGAAGGACCCCGCCAAGTTCAATCTGGTGGACCCCGTCGAGAGGAACACTGTCGGTCTGCCTTCCGGGGGATGGACCGCTTTCAGGTTCATAGCTGACAATCCAGGTTCCCTTCTCTGCTCAACACTCTCAGTTTTTTCATTTCCTCTCTCTCCCTCTCCCCCAACCTCACACACAGAGACTTCTTATTCTCTCTTCCTAATTACTACTGATCAGTTTGGATGTTGATGTCTAAATGTTTGTGCACAGGAGTGTGGTTCATGCATTGCCACTTAGAAATTCACACCACATGGGGGCTGAAGATGGCTTTCGTGGTGGATAACGGCAAAGGCCCAAACCAGTCCCTCTTACCTCCTCCCCCCGATCTCCCTAAATGTTAATTTACAAGAGACCCAATCCCTCCAAGAGGAAGGCGTATGTATGAAAATAAAAACGGGCAAAAGGAGTGAGCAACATACAAGAGTTTTGCCCAAAAAAGGAGGGACTCTTTTTTTGGCATGTTAGATATATTCATACATATTTTTCCGACGAATGTCTTCTGAGATCATCCATATCCAATATATATATATATATTTTTTTATTTTTTTTATTTTTTTTTTAATATCATTTTGGATCACCCATATGAGCTCAAATGTAGATGTGTAACAACCCCATCATATTAAGGGAGACATGCAAAACACTTTCTTTCTACTTTTGGAGTTAGTTTATGTATCAAATTGTGAGAATGTTTTCAATGATATTACAAACCATTTCAATCTGTGTACTGACGTATGATTCCGTTTGTTTCTCCTCATCTGACACTGTTAAATGTATACATACACATTGTTGGTTTGCTTAATAAGTGGGTGAAACGTTAAATAGTTGATATTTTTAGGTCAATTTCGACAAAACGTCATTTGCTTATTTTATGTTGATTTATTCAATGTCCTTGGGGTACAATTATAGTGGGCAAGATGAATTGAAAAATGGAAAGGCAAGGATGGTTTGTTAATGAAAACATTTTCTTGCTTGGAAAGTGTATAATTGTAAGGTTTCCACAAGGTCTATACTGCTCAACTAATTTTTCAGAAGAAAAATAACTTGGAACTTTACGCACGCCTCATTCATTCTAAGATTTTGTGTATGCATTTGCATATTTTCTTTTCTTTTTTCAGATTGCATTGTGAGGTCTAATGTGACTGATATGGAAATCACAGTAAACCCTCCCCATTAATAGCAACATTTTGGGTACGGAGGAACGTTAAATGAAGTCCAAGTACTAGGCTGGGGTTGTGAAACCATGTCTAAAACCTCCAATAGTTTCATATAATTTCCTTTTATTTCATACTACTGAATAATCGTTGTTTTGATTTTGTTATTTTCCTTTTCGGAGCATATCAAACGGAGACATTTTATCTTCTTAATTGTCCTTTCTAAGCGTTTTTTTTTTTGATTTGCATTCCATTCATTATAAAGAATATAACTGAATCGGTGGTTTCGACTCTCCGGTTCTCGAGGGTGCTTTTGCTTTAAAAATAAAAATTAAGAAAACTCGATGGAACTAGACGAGACCGGAAGCATTTTAGACCCTAACTGCTTACCATTGGTTACGAGCTGGCTCACTTATTATCAAATCAATCATACTTTGTTTTTGGGCAGGGTTAAAAAAAACAAACCAGCCTTGGAATCCAGTTAGGGCCAAGTCCGAGTAACCGGTTCCACCACCCTAACCATGCAGGTCTTAGCCGGCCCAAAAAGTGTTAAAAAATAAATAAAAATCTGAAAATATATATATATATATATAAGGTATATTAAAAACATGATTGAATAAAACACATCTAAATGAAGTTGAAAAATAATAAAAAAAATGGATTTTAAAAAATAGATTGTGCCCCGGGGTATGGTGAAATGTTTTCAAAAAAAATGGAAAAATAAAAAAATAAGTACTCATGGCGTACAAACTTTGCCCAAATGATAAAAAAACATTCAAAAACACATTACAAATAAATTCTTTATTTTTTGAGATTTTATATATTTATTTTTAAATTTGTTAATACCCACCAGACCACCAAAACTGATCAAAAGTGGATCAGCCAGTGCCCGATTCCGATTTGACCAGCCGATTCCAAGTTGGACCGACAGAGTTTGCAAAAATTGGTTTGGGGAAAGCGCAGTTTGGTACCTATTTATATTATAAACAGCTCCCTAAACGGCTCGTGTTAACATTAGAGAGATGAGGGACCAGGTTATATCCGCGAAGAGGCCAAGACAAAAGTGGTAAGAATTCGTATATAGAAGGCTTTGGTATAAAGAGGACCGACCTTCTATTTTGATTGAACATTTGCTCCAAGTCTAGGCAAGTTATTAAATGGGCAGGACCATTCTTTCTAGATCTCAATCTGATGAATTCATTATCTTTATTCCTTTTCTTTTTTTGAATGTCAGAATCCATTATCTTTATTGATTCAAGATAAGATCTAAGTGCTGATAATCCTCCGAGAATATCATACACTTTGAGCATTTTGCCCGTTGGAAATTGGTGACTGAAAGCCAAAGAAGGAGCTGAGAATTCATGCTCTTTTGCAAATCCCACTTTCATTTCCACACCAACTTCATTTATTTATGCACTTTCTTTTCTTGAGTTGTACAACCTTATTTGGATTTCGCTTTTCACGACAACAATTCTTATTCGGTCCAAATATGAAAGCAGTTTCTTTTCAAAGGAAAATAAAAAAGGGGGACCCACAACACAAGGAATTGTCGGCATCTCCCGATTCGTAGTATGTACCAAATCTATGCTCACAGTGTGCATAATTTGAGGCGTGCGCATCCACCATCCATCCCCCTTTGGGACGATGGGAGATAGTGGATCCATGTCGTGTCTATATGAACTCGCATATATTATGATGCTATGGTAAATTGGTAATTATAATATGTATGATATGCGACCATTTATTTTTGGTACAAAGATGTTACACCTCACTTTTAATTATTTAGATTTTCAAAAAAGCTTTCATAACAGTCGAAAAATTTTATTTCAAACTATGTGTCTAAACCAATGGTTTAAAAAGCGGATCGGTGACCCGGATCGACAAATCGATAATCCGAATCGAGAATCGACTGAATCAGTCGGATTAAAGCTTCAAAAAAATCCGAAAAAATTATTAAAATTCATTATAAATGTTGTTTTTTAGGAATCCAATAAAAAATGAGGGTACTACATTATTAAATTTCTTTTTTGTTATCAATTTGTGAATATTGAGATGCTCTTTCCCTGTATAAACTTATTTTAACTATTAAATTGGCATCACATAAAAGAAAAATCATAGAATTATCAAAGATAAAATATATAATTATATATGGACTATTATAAAGAGTAGACTAATCAATAAAAGAATGGCCATTAAAATCTCCTTTTAGCGAAAAACCCTAATCCGCTAAAAAAACCCAAACTATTGCAGCCTAACTAACTATAATCCAAAACTATTACAACCTCACAAATTATAATATTATATACTGAAATTATAATTATTAGTTTACATTTTATAATTATTTTATTAGATAAATAATAACAAATTAAAAATATTTTATAATATTATCTAATTTAAAATGTATTATTGACAACTGTAAGAAAAATAGTACATTACATGATTTATAATGTAAAAATTTATAAATAAAATAAAAGATTTGGTTATCAATGTAAAAATTAATAAAATGCATAAAAATTTTGGAAATAACTCTTCAATTTTTCAAAAATTTATTTTTTTTGGTTTCTATAATAAATTTAATAAAAGAGATTGTTAGTAGAAAGATGGAGATTTCAAATAGAATAAACTTTTTTTTTTTATTTTTTTTATACCTTTCATATTATTTACAAAAATAATTATACTACTATATACAACAAAAATTAACTGTTATATAAAAAATTAATTTTTTCATTTTTTTATATCTTTTATATCATTTACAAAATATTTTATATTTATACCAACTACTATACACACAACAAAAATATTTATATTTATACCAACCACCATATACACAACAAAAATGCAACACATGCCCAAGGGGATTCGAATGCAACACATGCCCAAGGGGATTCGAATGCAACACATGCCCAAGGGGATTCGACCTTCGAATGCAACACATGCCCAAGGGGATTCGACCTTGGGATATCAAGTAAAAAAACAAAAGTCACAACCACCAAGCCATCTAACTACATGTGATTATAAATTGTTGATTAATAGACTATATTTACATTTCATTTTCATTTAATGATGTTTGGAAATTATCTCACATCGAAAGATGGGTATTCACCTTTGGTATATAAATACCTATGTAATATGAACTATATTATGTGTACAAAAATATTAGGGCAGCTTCACACGTGCGCTTGGATACACATGTGCACGCGTGAGTGTGCGTGGGGCACGCTCGCATGTGCGCTTGGACACACGTGTGCACGCGTGAGTGTGTGTGAGGGCATGCTCGCACGTGCGCTTGGACACACGTGTGCACGTGCGAGTGTGCGTGGGGCACGCTCGCACGTGCGTGTCATGCGTTACGTGTGTGAACCGGACTGAACCGGATAGAATCAGATGGGAACCGACAGTTCTACTCTAGAACCGGGAGGTTCCCGATTTTGTGCTGGATCCGACACGGGCTGTGCCAGTTCCCGAGTGAAACCAGGCGAGTCCGATTTGACTCGCCATTTTTTAAAACACTGGTCTAAACAATAACATATCTTCAACCACCCGATTTCAAGAAAGAACTCGTATCAAAAAGCACCCGATTTCAAGAAAGAACTCGTATCAAAAAGCAAATGATACCTTTGTATACTTTTCCTATTCCATATGGCCATCATCTCATGATCAAGATCAAGGTTGTCATCGTCCTATCAATGGAAGGGAAGTGGATCCACATTAAATTTGAATTGTAGCTCCCTACTTTCCCTCATCGCCATCAGAACAATTGACTGGATCCTGCCATGAAAATCGTTGTTATCATCTGGATTGTATGACTATAGCCTGGACAAATAGAAAAATGCATCTTGACCATTGGGCTTGGGATTTAATTTGATAGGGTGAATGCTTCTTCGTCCCTTGAGCATGATGGCAAGGGGTTACAACCTTTTTGATTATTGATAATACATATATTACAGGCCGAAAATAGGTTTAAAAAAAAACAGAGACCCTCATCCAGCAAAGCAAACAAGCAGACCCCCAGGATATGAGGATGGCACTGCTTCTTATTATGGTTATGAATGCATAGTTGCTATTGGAATACGGTGTCAGTTATGACGGTGATCTTCCTTGGCGTGGTGGTGGTGGTTGTGGTGTGGAGGTGGAACGATGGGCCTTGAGATGCCGAGGTGAACTCCGGGGTTGTTGTAGGCGCAGCTGCTGTGGTACATTATGGAGTTATTCACGCTTTGCACGTTGCTATTCACGAATGCAGTCACTGGTGGTGATTCCTTCTTTTTCTGTATCTCATCCTTCATTCCATCACCTTCACCCTCCTTATTACCAACTTTCACATTTTCCGCAGCATTGGGGTTGTGTTGTTGAGGAGATAAAAGATTTCTCCTGGCAGCCCCGTAACCACCGCCCACTTCCATGGAAGCTCCCTTGTTCTCTCCAGCCATCGTGATCACCCTCGCTCCCATCTCTTCTGCCAATCCACCTGCTCCTCGATGGCCACTGCCGTTCTTCGTAGTCACTTCCTTTTCCTTGTGCTCCTCAACTTTGGGCTCAGGGAGGGGTTTTGCTGCATGCTGTTGTTGTTGTTGTTCTGGTTTTGGAGGCTCGCGATTGTTGGTTTTGATAGGTGGTAGCGGTGTAGATTTGGCATTGGGAGAGCGTGGAGGAGCCTGTAAAGATGACGGTTTGGGCTTGTTGTTAAGTGGAGACGATGGTCGGGATTGAGACGTTGGAACAGTAGTAGGTTGTGGTGTTTCGGTAGATGGAGCTGGAGCAGTAGCTGCGGGAGTAGGCTGTGGTGATTTGGTCCTAGGGGATTGAGGGGTGGGAGCTGTAGAAGTAGGACGTGGAGAGAGGCTGGCAGTAGCAGCACCATTGCCACTACCATTAGTTGGCGAAAGCTGAAGCTTCGTCGATGTTTGGGGTTGTTGTTGAGGAGGGGAAGGCTGTCGCTGCTGTGTTTCTGGCGGTGGTTGTGGCTGAGGTTGGGATTGGGGTTGTGGTGGTGGTTGGGCAGTTGGTTGTTGGGGTGTGGCTACTGGAGGAGGGGATGGTGGTGCCGCTGGAGGAGGGGATGGTGGTGCCGCTGGAGGAGGGGATGGTGGTAGAGGGGCCGGTGCTACAGGCACGAGACGTGGTTGTGGCTGAGGCTCGACACGAGGCAGCACAGAAGCCATCCGGAAAAAGGGGCGGCCTGTAGTTGTCTGCTGCGCCATTAATGGGATTAGGATTGGAAAAGAAAGAGAAGTATGGGATAGGGAAGAGGGGTTTGAGTGGTGTACTTATTTGGAGGGTGAGGAAGAGGAAGAGGAAGGTAAGCATCTGATTCTTTGAGCGCGCCACTTGGGAGGGGTTGGTATCAAGAATTGCTCCACAGCTGGTCCAATCCAATACCCTCCCTCCCTTCACTGGCTTCTGCTCTCTTGCCTTGCTCGATGGGACTCGAATACTTACTTTGCTCCGATGACCGGCTCACCACCACCGTTGGCCCTTGCCCTTTTCCTCTCTCTTTGAAACAAAAACGAGCATCAAGACTTTGGTGATATTGGGTCGCTGCATCTGTTCCATAGCTCAAACTTCAAAAGAAATTTACTCCTTTGTGACACATACAAACCATTAAATTTTACATCTGATGGTTGTGGTCAATTGTGACGACCATTACATTTAATTTTACATCAGCTGGTTGTGGGCAATTGTGACTATGCCAAAGGTTCTCCATTTTTATAAATATAACTAAATTAAAATGATTAAAAATATATTTTAAATAAAATTAACGAAAATACCTCTTCATTTATTTTGGTCAATACTTTTTATTCAAAATATTTTTTACCTCTACATTTATTTTGGTCACTATTTTTTATTTAAAATATATTTTTTTTTATTAATGTTACTCAATCTTAATTATAAAAATGAACCTAAAAACAAAATTTCAGATTAATATCATTTTTAAATAAAAAATAAGATTCATTATTGGCCTGTAGATGTGCATGGTTCAATCTGAACCATTAAAAGGTGCAAACGTTCCCATGCTGTGGACACAATGCCAACCCACAAAAAAAGACACACCCCTTCCATTTGAGGGGGAAGTGAACAAAAAAAATAGTTACATATTTATTCTCCAAGATTAAGGTAAAAAAAAAATATTATTTCGTGAGACAGCAGAACTTTTGCCTACCTGCGAACCTCGCTAAGTTTAATTGAGCCGTAGACCAACCTGCTTTTAACCTTGGCTAAGCTTCCCTCAACTAATTTCCTTGGTTAAGTTGTCTTAGCTTAAGACGCATGCTGGGTGCTTTTCTGTGAAGCTTTTTTTTTTTTCTTTTTTTTTTCTTTTTTTTTTCTTTTTTTTCTTTTTTTTCTTTTTTTTCCTTTTTTTTAACTTTAATCGTGAACCTTCATTTGAAAAATAAAGAGTACGTAAGATAATACAAAAAAAGAGGTTTGTCAGTGACCACCAACGATTGTTGATGGACGCTTCTTTTGCAATTGCATCTGCCTCCATATTGGCCTGCTTTTCTGTAAGGAAAACTGTTTCATGCGAGCTAGACCGCATTTCTACATGTGAGGTCGAGAAAGTGTAAAACATCCATATTAAAAATGGTTGGATACAAGTAACTGTTCCATCTAAAAACAATAAAAACTAACGTTCCAAATGTTTTTATATTATAATTATTATTTTGGATTTTTAAAATTTTATTTATTTTTTCATATCCATGATCTCCACGTTGGAGATTACATGTCCTTAAAAATTAAGTCTTGAAATCCATCTCAAAAATAGATTTATTAAGAAACCCGCATTTGTACATATGCGAGCATGGCCGCATAGAAACCGGATCCTTTCTGTGAAGCCTTAACATACCAAAATACTTTATCTTGGAATTGTATACTGCAAAACTGATTACCACCGCTACAAGAAGGTAACAATCACCCTAACAAAAAATTGGGTAGCCGGACTTGTCACATTTCCTGTACAGAGTGATTCAAGTTAAGTACTTAACACATTCCTAGCCTCAAAATTTTACATCCGACGTCTAGAATTGATTATCAGATATAAACAACCTACCCTTGCGTCTCTCCTATAACAAATAGACCAATACAAGAAGGCCTCTGCACAAATGTGCTCCCTTTGTTTTTCAGATAAAAAAAATAGCAATATTTTTTGTTTTAAGAAAGATGGACCGGTGCAGCCAACGTAAAAAAATGGGTGCATATGTAATAATACGGGAAAATTACAAATAACCTCTAGACTTTTTTTTTATGCAATTTCTCACTTTTTACTCTAAAAAACACTTTTTTAATAAATACTCCCTCAACCCAAAAAAAAATAATCTTAACTACCCTCCCTTGAGGGTATTTGTTAGAAAAGTATATTTAAAAAAAAAATAATGAGAAAAAAAAATTGATTGGAGATAACTTGCTGGAAAGTCTAGTCTTCGAAGGTATTTGTAATTTTCCCTAATAATAACACGCATTTTAGAAACCAAAAATGTGGTTCACTCAACTCCTTTTCAGGCCTTCTTGCCAACTTCATTCCGTAGCGAGTGAGAATATGTAATCCAATCGATAAAACTCATTAATACCCTCCATCTTTTGTAACGTTCGTAAAAAAAAAAAAAACTCCCACCTTATTTGTAATTTGATGTAATCGTAAACTTACAAATGAGCTCCTTTCCCCAAACTCGTAAGATGCTAAAAGCATGCTAGATTACGCCGCCATGTCAATATATGCTGGAACAAATTACAGAGGAAATGTATATAATAAGACCATTCTGTTTTTTTTATAAGGAGATCACAATTATTATTGACAGTTAAAATGTGAAATCAGACGGTTGGGAATGTATCATTGATTAAATATTGCAACATGCTTGAATATATCAGATTTCACAAGACTAAAAATGATTGTGACCTTGTACCAAAAGTAAATGATCTTATAATAATACAATCCCGATTACAAATTATAGATACTTCAGAGAGAGAGAGAGCTAGAACTTTCAGAAATTTCAGTCTATTGCGGTCTATTTCTTGAGAGAGAGGGGAGAAGTTCCATAAAATTTCGGTGGCTCCTTACAAAGAATATTCTTTTACCTTTATCTTTGGTTGTTCATTTGACATTCTCTCTCTCTTAATGAGTATAAAATGTTGGTGATAACGGCTGGCCAATAGGAAAAGCCGTCCATGCACCCACTAGATTTTGTGGGAACAAAATTCAGTCTCACACAAGCCTCCAGACTGGTGAGAATCGAGCAGCCATAGCAACAGTTTTATCGGGTTGTATTTCTGTTTAGTATTACTTCGCTTTTGGTATAAAATAAGAACAAAAAAAAGCCGTTTCAAAGAAAAGTAACACCGGAATAGCTGAGGATTGATTGGTTAAAAAAGCAGACTAAAAATAAAGCTTTCTACATAAACGACTGTGGGTATATATGCCTGGGAAAAGGGTTAATTACATTTAACTTTTTTTATTGAAATTTGTCTAAATATAACAGTGATATTTGAGATTTGTCTTACGAATTTGAGATTTTATGAAGTTAATTCAAAACTCACACCTTTTGAAACTTGTACTAAAAACCTAGTGTACTTCTCAGTTTTAAATCGGGTTAGTTAGCTATGCAGCTAACTCAACCAGAGTGGAGCACTGGCATCCACAAGCTTAGGCGCTATTCCATGTCGTACAACGTTAGATTTACATTTAGAGCAATTTCATCAGTACATTAAAACATTCCTAGTCCTCTTTGGAAGGATAACGAATGGCATCATATTACTTCCTTACTTGTTTAGAGAGAAAAGTGGCATGGCTTCGTCAGCTCCCCCATTTCTTAATGATGCATTTTGGTAACCCGTAACCTGCATTTTCAGAAAACACCATCAAAACATCCAGAACTCAACCAATACAAAAATTTGGATTTCACTTACTATCAAACAATTCTCTTTCAAAACTAGAGTTGTTAGGCCAACCAAAGCTGGCTTTACACCAAATATGCACAAAAACAACTTCTCATCTCTTATTTCCAATTCTGATTTCATCTAAAAGCTATATTCATCTTCATGGAATATCCGAGCACTAGTTGATGACATTTACAAAGTCTCCTTCCACCATGATTTTTAATGAATAAAATGGGAGACACTTGATGCCCTTCAAGACAGCCTTTATCTCTGCCTCATTGGCTGTACATTATAGTTTTCGAATATGACAAAATAATAGAGCCCATTTTGCCTGAAAGAAGACCCCAAACTCTGGTTGGGCCCGGATTACTTATGGAGCTTCCATCGAAATTCAATTTGACCCATCCAGGTGTAAGGCTGCCAACCACTAGCCTTCAAAACTTCTTACCTGCATTAAAGCCACTTGCGGCGTGTTATTTATAATATCATGTCCAGCAACACTTACTGAACTCCTAGCTTTGGCCCAAGAAGCTATAGAGGCCGCCTATACATCCTTGACCTTACCGTCAAATGATCTTATATTTCATTATGCCCATACATGCCACATAATGGCAACCATAGCCATCCACCACAGATTCTTTTACCAATCTTCGGGTGAGGAGGAGAGCTCCATTGCATTAGCAGATGTTTAACTGACCTTCAAAATAATATTTTAGAAAGCTTAGTTTGTAGAGAGAGAAGTCATGGTTTATTTGTCCCACATACGTGTATGACAAAGAGTAAAGTTTATATAGAGGACTACCGTCTTCATTTGTATTCATGAATACAAAGGGGATATGTGCACAGCACTTGTGTGTGGGCACAAGGGTACTTGAAGCGAGCGCATCTTGTTACCGAGCCAAATAACAACAGAAATAAGCAAGCTAGCGCACCACATGACCAACCGTGTGTGACCAAATTTTTCATCTTCAACAATTTGGCTTAGGAACGGAAAGGTTGAATGTGAACCGCTATGACTGCTGGCTATCTAATTACATGAAGCTTTGTAACTAATGAAACATTATGAAAAGGAACAGTCGAGAAACAAAGAGTTACAAATCTTCCAACTTTTGAATGCATTGAACAGTCGCATCTTAAGAATTTCAAGGGGAGCCTACTCTCACTATACATTGGATTCGAATGTCTTTTCTCCAAAATGAATCTTGGATTCAAATGACTGGGCGTATGGCCCTTGATAGAGCGGAATGGTGGAATAGGATTCAGGCAACTAACCCCAAATAGTTGCCTGAATTCGAATGTCTTTTCTCCAAAATGAATCTTGGATTCAAATGACTGGGCATATGGCCCTTGATAGAGCGGAATGGTGGAATAGGATTCAGGCAACTAACCCCAAATAGTTAGGATAAGGTTTAGATGATGATGATGATCTTGGATACAAATATCTCCTTCACAACACTTGTTTTTCAGACTATCATCTATCTTTAGCTAACTTTCTCTCTTCATAAGAAAGGCAACTTTGGTGCTCTAAATCTTGTTATTCTTATGCATTTGAATAGGTAAGATAAGTGTTTAATTATCGATTTCCTTCTATCCAAGGATAAAATTTGCTGGGAGAAGTTTTATGCTCATTGATTTCATCAGTAAGGGGCAAATATTTCAAAAAACAACTATCATGCCTTGGAACAATAAGATCTTTTATCCACAAAGTATTTGCAAAATTGTGCTATTTACTGCCCTGTTTCACCCACCATTCTTCCAACAACTACTCTTCATGCTCCAAAAGCAATGATGCCTTGGTTATTCATATGAAATTCCAAACCTTATATATACCCAAATGGGTGGTGGATTGATACAAACCAGAGATTAAGATACATGTCAAGATCATGAGGGGATAAATTCCGCCACAAACCAATTCTTGACTTGCATCAGATTTAAGGTTGGATCAAGTCACATAGTTCATTTTTTGATACACTTATGGGGGAAATCCAAACAATTTAGGAATGATTCCCCAAGAGCTAGCCCCCAATGTCAAATCATGTTCACAGAAATATTTGAAAGAACCACTAGCTGCTTGACATGGAACCCAACATTTAGACAACAGTCACAGCAACCCAAAGGCAATGAGATAGAAGAATTAATAGAGCCGAAAAAGCAACTTCAGCAAGTATATAACCCAATTTCTGGGTTAGACAAGATGCTTTGCAGCCCAAGCAGTAAGGGCCTGTTCTCATTCTCATCCTTTTACAGTAATCTTTCTCACTCACCCTTCCCACCAGCAGTAGCTTGAAAGGTATGGTCTATGTGCCCCACCTCCTAAAGAAAAAAGGGCAAAAAAAAAAAGGGTTCAGATTTTATTGTCTAGCTATACTAGAAAAAGCACTCATTGTTGACCATCTTAGAAACAATGGTGTGCCCATAGGTGAATCATGTGTTGAGCAGATGGGTGACAGTGGAGCACCTATTCTCCATTGCAAAGTAGCTCAGGCTATCTTGTCCTTTCGCTTAAGTACTAAGTATCTTAGTTGAGTCCAGCACAAAGTGTTGAATGCCTCTTTTGACAATAGGCATTATCCTTTGGCAACAGGGACTGCTTGCTATCCTATACTCACTTCAGTTAAAAATAAATGGAAGGACCTCCCAAGGCAACTTCTCTAATGCAAGAAAAATCAACGAAAAAAAACAATGGGTCATGTTATTGATTAGGCACTAACCATGAAAGAGTTATGGGGATTCACACATAGAGACCTGCACCACCATTTGCAAAATACACTACGGACCTGAAAACGTAAAGAAGCCACAGCCAAAATTAGAACCCACCTCCAACGATCATCAAACATTTTTAAGACCAGAGCGGATTGGACTACCCTGTCCAATCAATTCGACTAGGAATGGGACCAAGGATTGGCCCAGTTTGACCAGTGAACTAGCAATTTGTCAAAAATTGGTCAGAACCTGTCAAAACAGGTTTGAGCCAGCCAATTCAGGCAGTTCAAACCTGTTTTAAAAAGATTGTACTGGTTTTCTATATAATTTTTTATTTTTATTTATATTTATCTAGACCGGCCTGACCAAGGAACCGGCCTAGTACCACGATATGGACCAGGCCAGTGCCCTCACTGGCTCAATGACCGATGGTTCTGAAGACATTTCAAAATTAAATTGCGGTGGAGGTTTTAAGGGCAACCCAGGTCTAGCTTGTATTAGAGCTGTTTCTGAATCATCATGGAAAAGTTTGTCCGTGTAATCTAGACTGGTAAGAACATGAGTCCCAATAAATCGGTCTTAGGATATATAGAGGGCTGAATGGGGCCATCAAATAGTGTAAGGAGACTTCACAAGAACCATAAGATGGGCCAAAAGCCTCTCAAGTTGCCCATGGAGAATACAAAATCTTTCACAAAATTGAAGACATCATATAAAGCTCAAATGTGATCTTCCAACTCTTGGCGAAAATCGAGTGAGTTTGCAAATGCCCTAGGCAAATAAGAAACACCTTAGAGCAATTTTTTCATGGTATGAGACTGACTTCTTCTTAATTTTGCTAGCAGAAATGTTTTTGTCCGTAGTAGACATGGGCATCAAATTTTGAAATATGCGATGTCATCACCACACGACAAATTCGTTAACAATCAAATAAACATATATTTGTCTGTTTAACACTTCTTACTACAACCCCGCAGATGTTATAATGATAAAAACATGAGGGCGAAAATCCTCTCGAGTTGCTGGGATGACCCACACAGACTTAGACACAACTTTTATTATAACTTTTCTTCGACATCACAAGATAACGAGGCTTAGTTTCAATCTAGATGGGAAGTATACACCATAATGAAATCTAAAGGGTGCTTAATACACTTACAAACTCTAATAAGAGGGCCAAAATGACCCATGTGAAGGTTGGGAAGATCAACATGTGAGAGAAGAAACAAGCTATCTAGGCATAGTTCACGAAAATACATGGAGATGGACGGACGCATTTGGACTGTCACATGGAAGTGACATGGCATCCTATGTAGGGCCCACATGTGGCATGGTGGCACACATTTGCCATTTGTGTGCCACGCTCCATACATGTGGGTCTCCTTAGTTGGAATTTTGGGCAACCAAATTTTTGAAGCCATTTTTACTTATAATAAATTTTTCAAAATTATCAAAAATCATTGTAAATCATTTTCAAACATTCTCTAACAAAATCACTTAATTTAGCATGATAAAAAATATGAATAGAGAAATTAGGATCTTCAGGAGGTACAATTACGTTCTATGGTACTCCATTGGGCTAGGTTTGGAACCTTTGGCCACTTTCTCAACCTAACGAACCTTTGTCCCATAGTCTCAAGCAAGGGAACATGCTTGGTTTATTAAAGCTGACTCAATAGATGGCCTTGGTTTTCGGATATTCAGTGGATTACAAGGCATCCCCAAGGACAAGCACTCTTATAGGTGCGGGGGTCCTCTCTCTAGCACATGTCCATAGCTCTGATTAAGCATATCGACTTTGTCAAAGCGGCTTCCCATTTGCTACTATCCTTTACACATGTTGTGAGTAAACTGAATTGTTCGGGATTTAGGCTTATGTCCTCTTAAAGCCTATTCTTCGTACACATGGCTGAATCCCACATGTTTGCTCCAATATATCGGATTTTCCAATCCTATCTCTTAGGCCCTGGCTCACACACTGATGAGGAGTTCTCATACCGACCCTGACTAGAGGAGACCCTTAAACATCTCGGTTGTGAATAAGGCCCTCCAGTCCTGCCTTATGACTCTAGGTATTTCGACTTTTCAGATCTCAGTTTTCTAAATCCAGTAAGTGCGACATTCTAGTTCACTCCCACTGTGACTCAAAACTATCTTGGAACCACGGAGTCAAGGA